ATTCTGCAGGTGAAGAATAATAAATTCATATCAAAAAACTTTCAGCAACTGTAATTTCAACAGATTAATGAATTTTCTACTTCGGAGGGCTGTTGTGGGGTAGTTTTTGATTCACAAATTATTTCACTATATGAAGCGTTTAAAGCAGGTCTAGAATAATTCATTTCCATAGAAAAATCTCCTGCAACAAGAATTTCAACTAATTTAAGCTTTTTACACTTCGGAGGGTTGTTAAGGGGTAGTTTTTGGTTCACAAAATATTTCACCCTACAGAGTGTATTCTGCAGGTGAAGAATAATAAATTCATATCAAAAAACTTTCAGCAACTGTAATTTCAACAGATTTATGAATTGTCTACTTCGGAGGGCTGTTGAGGGGTAGTTTTTGATTCACAAATTATTTCACTATATGAAGCGTTCAAAGCAGGTCTAGAATGATTCATTTCCATAGAAAAATCTCCTGCAACAAGAATTTCAACTAATTTAAGCTTTTTACACTTCGGAGGGTTGTTGAGGGGTAGTTTTTGGTTCACAAAATATTTCACCCTACAGAGTGTATTCTGCAGGTCGAGAATAATCCATTCCAATCAAAAAACTTTCAGCAACTGTAATTTCAACAGATTTATGAATTTTCTATTTCGGAGGGCTGCTGAGGGGTGGTTTTTGATTCACAAATTATTTCACCCCATAAACCGTATACAACAGGTCTAGAATTATCCATTTCCATCAAAAAATCTCATGCAACGGGAATTTCAACTGATTTATGATCTTTATACTTCGGAGGGTTGCTGAGGGGTAGTTTTTGGTTCACAAAATATTTCACCCTACAAAGAGTAGTCAGCAGGTCTAGAATAATTCATTTCCATCAAAAAATCTCTTGCAACAAGAATTTCAACTAATTGATGATTTTTACACTTCGGAGGGTCGTTGAGGGGTAGTTTTTGGTTCACAAATTATTTCACCTTACAGGGTGTATTCTGCAGGTCAAGAATAATTCATTTCCATCAAAAAACTTTCAGCAACTGTAATTTCAACAGATTTATGAATTATTTATTTCAGAGGGCTGCTGAGGGGTAGTTTCTGGTTCACAAATTATTTCACCCCATACAGCGTATACAGCAGGTCTAGAATAATTCATTTCCATCAAAAAATCTCTTGCAACAAGAATTTCAACTAATTGATGATTTTTACACTTCGGAGGGTCGTTGAGGGGTAGTTTTTGGTTCACAAATTATTTCACCTTACAGGGTGTATTCTGCAGGTCAAGAATAATTCATTTCCATCAAAAAACTTTCAGCAACTGTAATTTCAACAGATTATTCATGATTTTCCTACTTCAGAGGGTTGTTGTGGGGTAGTTTCTGGTTCACAAATTATTTCACCCCATAGAGCGTATACAGCAGGTCTAGAATAATTCATTTCCATCAAAAAACATCGCGCAACTGTAATTTCAACTGATTTATGAATTTTCTAATTCGGAGGGTTGTTGAGGGGTAGTTTCTGATTCACAAATTATTTCACCCTACAGGGTGTATTCTGCAGGTCAAGAATAATTCATTTCCATCAAAAAACTTTCAGCAACTGTAATTTCAACAGATTTATGAATTTTCTATTTCGGAGGGCTGCTGAGGGGTGGTTTTTGATTCACAAATTATTTCACCTCATAAACCGTATACAACAGGTCTAGAATTATCCATTTTCATCAAAAAATCTCATGCAACGGGAATTTCAACTGATTTATGATCTTTATACTTCGGAGGGTTGCTGAGGGGTAGTTTTTGGTTCACAAAATATTTCACCCTACAAAGAGTAGTCAGCAGGTCTAGAATAATTCATTTCCATCAAAAAACATCGCGCAACTGTAATTTCAACTGATTTATGAATTTTTTAATTCGGAGGGTTGTTGAGGGGTAGTTTCTGATTCACAAATTATTTCACCCTACAGGGTGTATTCTGCAGGTCAAGAATAATTCATTTCCATCAAAAAACTTTCAGCAACTGTAATTTCAACAGATTTATGAATTTTCTATTTCGGAGGGCTGCTGAGGGGTGGTTTTTGATTCACAAATTATTTCACCTCATAAACCGTATACAACAGGTCTAGAATTATCCATTTCCATCAAAAAATCTCATGCAACGGGAATTTCAACTGATTTATGATCTTTATACTTCGGAGGGTTGCTGAGGGGTAGTTTTTGGTTCACAAAATATTTCACCCTACAAAGAGTAGTCAGCAGGTCTAGAATAATTCATTTCCATCAAAAAATCTCTTGCAACAAGAATTTCAACTAATTGATGATTTTTACACTTCGGAGGGTCGTTGAGGGGTAGTTTTTGGTTCACAAACTATTTCACCTGTATTCTGCAGGTCAAGAATAATTCATTTCCATCAAAAAACTTTCAGCAACTGTAATTTCAACAGATTTATGAATTATTTATTTCAGAGGGCTGCTGAGGGGTAGTTTCTGGTTCACAAATTATTTCACCCCATACAGCGTATACAGCAGGTCTAGAATAATTCATTTCCATCAAAAAATCTCTTGCAACAAGAATTTCAACTAATTGATGATTTTTACACTTCGGAGGGTCGTTGAGGGGTAGTTTTTGGTTCACAAATTATTTCACCTTACAGGGTGTATTCTGCAGGTCAAGAATAATTCATTTCCATCAAAAAACTTTCAGCAACTGTAATTTCAACAGATTATTCATGATTTTCCTACTTCAGAGGGTTGTTGTGGGGTAGTTTCTGGTTCACAAATTATTTCACCCCATAGAGCGTATACAGCAGGTCTAGAATAATTCATTTCCATCAAAAAACATCGCGCAACTGTAATTTCAACTGATTTATGAATTTTCTAATTCGGAGGGTTGTTGAGGGGTAGTTTCTGATTCACAAATTATTTCACCCTACAGGGTGTATTCTGCAGGTCAAGAATAATTCATTTCCATCAAAAAACTTTCAGCAACTGTAATTTCAACAGATTTATGAATTTTCTATTTCGGAGGGCTGCTGAGGGGTGGTTTTTGATTCACAAATTATTTCACCTCATAAACCGTATACAACAGGTCTAGAATTATCCATTTTCATCAAAAAATCTCATGCAACGGGAATTTCAACTGATTTATGATCTTTATACTTCGGAGGGTTGCTGAGGGGTAGTTTTTGGTTCACAAAATATTTCACCCTACAAAGAGTAGTCAGCAGGTCTAGAATAATTCATTTCCATCAAAAAACATCGCGCAACTGTAATTTCAACTGATTTATGAATTTTTTAATTCGGAGGGTTGTTGAGGGGTAGTTTCTGATTCACAAATTATTTCACCCTACAGGGTGTATTCTGCAGGTCAAGAATAATTCATTTCCATCAAAAAACTTTCAGCAACTGTAATTTCAACAGATTTATGAATTTTCTATTTCGGAGGGCTGCTGAGGGGTGGTTTTTGATTCACAAATTATTTCACCTCATAAACCGTATACAACAGGTCTAGAATTATCCATTTCCATCAAAAAATTTCATGCAACGGGAATTTCAACTGATTTATGATCTTTATACTTCGGAGGGTTGCTGAGGGGTAGTTTTTGGTTCACAAAATATTTCACCCTACAAAGAGTAGTCAGCAGGTCTAGAATAATTCATTTCCATCAAAAAATCTCTTGCAACAAGAATTTCAACTAATTGATGATTTTTACACTTCGGAGGGTCGTTGAGGGGTAGTTTTTGGTTCACAAACTATTTCACCTGTATTCTGCAGGTCAAGAATAATTCATTTCCATCAAAAAACTTTCAGCAACTGTAATTTCAACAGATTTATGAATTATTTATTTCAGAGGGCTGCTGAGGGGTAGTTTCTGGTTCACAAATTATTTCACCCCATACAGCGTATACAGCAGGTCTAGAATAATTCATTTCCATCAAAAAATCTCTTGCAACAAGAATTTCAACTAATTGATGATTTTTACACTTCGGAGGGTCGTTGAGGGGTAGTTTTTGGTTCACAAATTATTTCACCTTACAGGGTGTATTCTGCAGGTCAAGAATAATTCATTTCCATCCAAAAACTTTCAGCAACTGTAATTTCAACAGATTATTCATGATTTTCCTACTTCAGAGGGTTGTTGTGGGGTAGTTTCTGGTTCACAAATTATTTCACCCCATAGAGCGTATACAGCAGGTCTAGAATAATTCATTTCCATCAAAAAACATAGCGCAACAAGAATTACGACTAATTGATGATTTTTACACTTCGGAGGGTTGTTGAGGGGTAGTTTCTGATTCAAAAATTATCTCACCCTACAGGGTGTATTCTGCAGGTCAAGAATAATTCATTTCCATCAAAAAACTTTCAGCAACTGTAATTTCAACAGATTTATGAATTTTCTATTTCGGAGGGCTGCTGAGGGGTGGTTTTTGATTCACAAATTATTTCACCCCATAAACCGTATACAACAGGTCTAGAATTATCCATTTTCATCAAAAAATCTCATGCAACGGGAATTTCAACTGATTTATGATCTTTATACTTCGGAGGGTTGCTGAGGGGTAGTTTTTGGTTCACAAAATATTTCACCCTACAAAGAGTAGTCAGCAGGTCTAGAATAATTCATTTCCATCAAAAAACATCGCGCAACTGTAATTTCAACTGATTTATGAATTTTCTATTTCGGAGGGTTGTTGAGGGGTAGTTTCTAGTTCACAAATTATTTCATTGTATGGAGGGTGTTCAATTAGTGTAAAATTATCGATTTACATAATGAAATCGCGATTAAGGTATCTCCCAACTGTCTCACGATTTTTCTGTTATGTGGGGTGGTTATGGGGTGGTTTAGAAATCACAAATTATTTTTTTGTTAGGAGCCTTTCTCAACTTCTTCAGGTTAGTGGACTTGTGTAGAAAAATCTTGAGCGAAAGAAAAAGTCCTTCCTCCATATACCATAAATGAAGTTGAAAAACCGTTGCCAGAAAAACCGTTGCTGCTTTCACACCCGTTATTTTACTCACAGGCAAATTGAGTTTTTTTGCATCAACTGGCTGTTGGAAGGGCCATGCAAACTGATGCTTCCAAACAGCTTTTAGTACGGTTTTCTGCAAGAATTGTAGCTGATTAGTGACACGTCCAGGATTGTCTGTAGGAGGATGAACATGCGGCTGTACTATGCCATTTACAGGCTCAACCGGAGGTTCATTTCGTGGTGGCCTATCCATTTTGTATCTGGAAATCAAATATGACAATATAATAGAAAGCATGGATGAACTTGTTCATAGTAGGGACACTCGACAAGCAGTCCATTTAGACATAACCACTAATGATTTTCAAGCAGATCAATTTTTGCCAATTAATGACATTTTAGAACATGAATTTGTTTATCACATAGGTTTCCATATCTTGAACACAATTATGTACTTTGTAATGTTTTCCACCACTAACCTGAGAAAATCACCATTATTTGAAAAATTTATCTGATGAGAACTAACACTATTTTAACCTAGGTAAATGATGATGAAGAAATTTCACCTAGTTAAATGATGAAAAACTGTCAATAGTGTCAATGATATAAAAACAGGTACATTTGATAAATGGACTTTTCAATATTTGTAGTAATGACCATTAATGATAATTAAATTCTTGAAAAAATAATAACTTGAAGAATGATTTATTATAAAACAACGTCAACAAACAATTACAGAGATTAATATTATAAATAACTAATTTTCGTACCAATACAAAATTATGTCTTGAATTCATCTTTCCTTAATAAAACTGATCAGTATTCACTTTTATTGAGTGGAAATAATAAAAACTTTGTATTCAATTGAGGTTAGGTATATATCTAATCGTTATGGATAATTTTTCAGTTTCTACAAATTGGTGAAATGAAATAGAAATTTGATCAAAAATTTCAGTTCCTGGGAAAATAAATAGGGGTGAATCTACTTCTAACCCTAATTGAAATAAACTTATACTTGATACTACAATTTTTTAAACCCTAATATATAGCGCACTAAAAAACTTCAAATGCCATTTAATCTTCTTCACTGTCATTAATAGTAGATTGTTTTATTAGGATCAAAAGTGACACTTTGTTTGACAAGCGAATTTTGCATTTGCGAGGCGGAGCGTTTAGCGAAGCCGAGCGAAAGCAAAATTTGCGAGTCGAACAAAGTCACTTTTGATCCGAATGAAACATGCTATTTTTTCTGCAACCGAAACAATTAACTCAAATAAACATGTGAAGTAACCACCAATGCCGTGCCATATGTATGCAATGTAACACATATTGACAAATAATCCATGTGGTGAGAATATTCTACCTGCATTAACAGCAGGTTAGGTTTTCTAAGATGTTCGAATTGTAGTTTCAATATAAGTACAACCACAGAGTGACATATTTGTGTATGGACCAGGTGCTCTAATGGCAAATACCGCGCCAGTGCCAGCTATAGGAACAAGACGTGGAAAATGTTAGGTTAGTGAGCATATCAACAATGATAATAGAGATTATTTATTCCTCTCCATACTACACTGTGTTTGACTTGATAATCAAATGAAGCTAAACAATATCGTTTTTTAAGACGAAAAAACAATTGCTTGCCGTGATTATTCAAAAACAAGTTATCCATCCCGAGAATAACGAATGAAATACAGATCACGCAAGTATTTGAATCTTGAAGGCTTCCCTGATCAAAACAAAAATACTTAACTGAGATGTTTATGATTTCAATACTAAACTATGATAAGGTGAATGTATATCTCCAGCATGGGTATGAAATGCCAAATCTGCTGAAATCGGAAACAAATCAGGTATGCGTCTCAACCCAAATAACCAACCGTCACAATGTTGTTATTCTTGATGACGTCCAGTAGATCCTTTTTAATTCAATTTTAGCTCCTAGGACCTAAATATGTCGCCTAGCAACATACCTATTTTTGTGTCAGTAATAGAAACGTCAATTTAAGAGCTAATTTTGGTATCAAAATGGACGACTTTTGTGTCGGTTGCAGAAAAAATAATTCTCACTATTATCAGAATCATCTTCTCCTACATTTATAATCACTCGTGGAATATCTTGTAAATCTAAAATATTTTCTCTCTCCCACCAACTTCAAATTATTTGTTCAGTATGGCGAACACTATTGGCCCATATTTCAGGAGTAACTTGCTTCGGAGACTCTTCCCTTTTAGGCATTTTAAATAAATCAAATTCAAAATCCACCAATGATCCACAAATAAATCACAAACAATTTCATGAAAGAACAAATTTTCAGAGATGAATAAATAATCCGCAGAGATCAGCTGATCACAAACAAACCGCTTCTAGAAATGTCAGATGAATCTGGCATCGCTGTCCAGTTTTGCCAACTTAAATCGGTAATGCGGTTCGCCCATTTCGAAAGTATTGTGCAACTATCTAAGCTAAGTGAATGAACTATATCAGTCGAATTCTCGCTCATTTTTTGTTTTTATCCACAATTTCACCTGGGTTTTAATATAGTCGTTCATTTTCTCACAGCCAAGTCGAATTTCCCTTTAGTTCATTCAACAACTAAACTCCTATGTAACTTGATGTATCAAATTTTTTGTAATATGCTGAACAAACAGGGTGAATGGCATTGCTGCTTCAATGGAATGGAAAATCTGAATTAATAAAAGATGTTGATATTTCAGTGTTTGTAGTGGAAACAATATACAGGATGAGTCAAAATGTGAACCGACCTTTCTGGAGGTGAAAGTACATTGAAAAATAAGTATAGTTTGATGAATAAACTTATGGCCCAAAATGTATTGTAAGGAAGATCTATCCTTCCAAAGTTAGTTGAATTAAAATAATTTTTAGGCATAACTTCTAAATAATCTAAATGGTAAAAGCCACCAGATTGAAATTTCTTGCATAATTGTATGTTCATAAAGATACATTTTTCTGATACACTTTTAACTTTCTGATATTGTTATAATGGGACATTTTAGACCCCAATAAACTTAGCTGAACCACTTCAACATTCCAGATTTGCAATAGTGCTATAATTTGTTACTAATTTAGTACTAATTTATTACCATATTCGCAAATTCATTACTCTTCATTAAACAGAAAAAACCCACGGCTCTGCTAGCTTTATGAGAATATTGCAGAACCATAGGTGATGATTTATTATTTTGAAAACTAAACTTCATATATATACTATAATTTATTACAATTTTGTTACTAACTCATAACGCTGATCATGAATATTTTACTTTTACTAATCATTTGATAAAAAAAACGCTTTCATCATCAAATCTCATTATGGTAGAACCAAAACTCAAATCACCTGTTTTTTGAAATCCGAATGAATCATCAATGAGTAACTAATTGTTTACTAATTTATTGCCACATTCGCAAATTTCCAACCCTTCATTCAACAGAAAAAAACAACGGCTCTGCTAGCTTTATGTCAACCTAGCAGAACCATATAGCTAATCATTTATTTTTTTGAAAACTTCAAATATACCATAATTTATTAATATTTAATTACTAACTATTGCAAATGTTGAAGGGGTTCTGGTAAGTTTATTGGGGTACATTTTACAGAGTGGAACATGATTTTTTGAATACTACTTTTGTCCTTGTATTCTGTTTGGTGAACAAAACTGAAGCATTTGATAGAGCGAAAAAAATTACATATAAACTGTACTCTCAGCAAAATACAAAAAATGTTAACGTTTTCGATATATTTGAGTTTTTGTAGTGACATGATATCTGCAGATGAATTCATGAGTAGGTATCAATAGTTTAGGAGGCATCGAACCTTTTGGCAAACCACCATCTCTATTTTTCATCTTGAAACATTATTTTTTACGCAATCTTTGCACAATTCTCAAAATTTCTCTAGAATATGGAACCTGTCATTTCTTAAAATCACACAATTTTAATCGCATTATACAGATTGTTCATCGAATCGTTAGATATGTATTGAGGAAGAATGGCATTTGGCAACATGGCAGTCACGGAGAACAGTGCTCGCCGCATAGCAAATTTCCGTTTTAATTCTGTCCAGATATTCCAGCGGAGACTAGCGAAGACGCTGAATCATGTTGCCATTCACGTGCCCTATATGTAACGATTCGGCAAACAATCTGTATGTATACATTTCATTTAAAACGAAACAGACCAAACATCTGATTACACGTTCGTTCCTGAAAAAAATCGCTCGCACACTAAATTGACTATTCAAGAGGGAGATACCCTGTTGACATTTCCCCCTTGAGGAGGATAATTTCGTGTGTGAAAGATTTTTTCGGGAATGAATATTATAGGGATACCCTTTTTTGGTCTGTTTCGTTTTAAATGGTGAACCCTGTATAAAAGTGCTTGCTATAATTATAATAGCTCACTTCTCACCCAAGGTGTATTAATATACTATTGATTGAAGCTCAATGAAGGTGTAGTGTTCTTGGTCTTCACATAGAATAATCCAATAAAATATTAAGGAGTAGCAAAAACTACAAAATTCCTGAACCTGAAAACAACACCAAACCTCAATTTGAACAATAATGTACCAAATTTGCATTTCAGTGTGTTCTGTCCTCGGTTTTGTCTAAAAAAAATCATAATTCTTATGATAGCAGACAGCTGCAAATTTCGACTGTCATCTGATAACGAAATTATACATGTCCCAGAGCAATGTAAAAGCATTGTAGTTATCGCACGCAACTGTGTCAATGCGGAAATATGCCCTGGATTTCACGATTTGATAACGAGATAGGAATTATGCCATCTGAATTGAATGGTAGATCTCAAAAACGTACCTGTGCCACTCCCTCAGTCTGAGCTGAATCCAAAGCACAGTGAGTGCAATTTTTCAATCATTTTGCTCACGATGATAGTGTTTGGCACAGGTGTCGATAAACTACAATTTATATTTTTGTATCATATTATCTATATAATATTTGGATTTCACTTTGTAAAATAAATATCTATTGATATCAATTGTAAATATTGATTATATTTATGTAAATGGTACACCCTGTATATATCTTCATCGAATTTCGACTCCAGGCAATCTCTAAGCTTACAATTAACAAAATAGATGTGGACTTTCTCAAAACTCAAATATTGTTTGTGGACTTACCTAATTGTAATGATTTTATGATCGTATTTTCAGGCTTTGGGTACCCCAATAAAATCCCATCTGGAGATACCAAACAAATGATTCGGATTTTATTAAGTATTTCA